ATGATCTTCGATTTGACATCCATATTGTATATATGAAATAAATAAATTATATTTATCTTTATAATAATAAAAAATAATAATATTTATTAAAATTCATTAGAAAAATAAAATTATTTCTCAATTGATATATTTATATGTAATGTAGTTATATATTGTAAGTTAAAAAAAAAGTAGAATATAACACAAGTAAGTTGCACAAATAAAAAGTGTCATAATAAATATATAATAATATATATATTCTTATAAAATGTATTTAAATTTTCACACTATTTTTTCTCATTAATTTTAGATTTTAAGAAAAAAAATTAGCAAGCACCCGTGTAATACACGGGTGTTGTACTAGTTTAGGATATGTTCGGATTGGAAATCAACGAGCTCGTTTGAGTTGGCACATGTTCTTGTCTCCCTTTTCATACATTTGATGAAGATATGGTGCATTTATTTTGAAAATAAAAGTTTATTTTGGTCACACTAATGAAAAACTAACTGCTATATATCTGATAATAAATAAATAAATAAATGATGATAAAATTTTGAACTAATTAGTGATGGTTGGTGATGATGAAAATCTTGTTGTTATAATTAAAGTATTTGATAAAATTAGTTGATAAATTAACTAAAACAAAAATTTTAATAGACTTTATTTTTTAAAAGGTTGCGTTGAGATAACTTCGACTTAAAAAAAAAAAACCAAACGAGATTTACTTAAACACAAATACATATAAACCAAGTAAATAAATTATAAATTAGATGTGCAAGTACTACTTACCAAGCGCACGGTCAGAGAATGTTTGGTAAGTCTAACTTTAAAACTAAATGATAGTTGATAAATTAATTAATAGCCCATATGACGAAGAGGGGTTAGCGCAGTGGCGCATACCTTCGCTCGGCGTGTATCATGTCTCGAGTTCGAGTCACCCGGAGAGAATTTGAGAACCAGTATTGATCCCCTTTAAAAAAACGAAATTAATAGCCCAAATATTAATTTCAAATCGATGACTGATAGTTGACTCATTTACAAACTTGCTCTATGATTTCAAAAATATTGCACAAATTAACAATTAGCATTGTTATTGACTCTATACCAAATAAATATGAAAATACTTAACATTAGTTACACACACTAACATTAGTTACACACACACACAAAAAAAAAAAAAAATGTGTAGGTCCTTGTCCTTTAATTTCCGTAACTGAATGCTCTCTCTGTCATCCTTAATTAATTTATCTTAGTTAAAGAATTCATCTTTAAACAATGCTCTCTTTCCCATCTCATTTCTCCTTCTCTTTTATATGAGCGAATGGCGAACGACGTCAGTAAGAGCAGACGGCGGACTCCAGTCCATCGTCAGAGAGGTTGGTGGAATGGCCGAGGTCGAGGTAGCCGATTCGGTGGAAGTAGACTTGAGCCGGTCCAAGCTGGTAGTTAATTTCTCGCCCTTCTTGCAGCCGATGAGTTTGGCAGAGGCGAAGGAGGGAGGGAGGGATGGTGGTGATGTTTGGTTAGAAATTGGCGGTGGGATGGATAGATGTTATATGAATAAAAATGCAACATATGCTGAAAATATACTAACTATACAAGTATATATACTGAAATTATTCTATTTCTCCCTCTTGCACAAGATATGACGCTCGTCGTTAAGCCTTGACCTCTTTTTCTTATAATTGTCGGCCTGGTCGATTTTATCATTTATTTTTTTTTTCTTTTTAGTCGGATATGGATAAATGCTATGTAAATAAAATGCAACATATATTGATAATATTCTAATGCTCGTCTTGTACAAGATTTTGACGCTCGTTGTTAAGCCTTAGTCTGTTTTTCTTATAATTTCTAACTTGGTCGGTTATTTCATTTATTTTTTTTCAGTCGGTTCATCGCTTTCAACGTCATTTGCGTCAATTTTCATCTTGTCCATGTCAAATTCATCTTCTTCAGAATCTTAGTCGGGTTTTTCTTTTTGCAGAAGTGTTGGACTTCTTCTTCTGCCATGTTTGCTTCTTTGCCGAGAGATTTCGTTACACCAACCTTTTCTTCGCAGAGAGCTGGCGGGTCAACGAAGTGCACCTGCTGCCGTCAAGCGAGCACCCGGCTGCCTGGGGCTTGGACTTCTTCATTGCTAGGGAAATTGGGGCTGCGGCGGCAATTTGAGACTTTCTACACAATCCCCGTTAAATTCGCCAAGTCCATAAAAAAATATAATTATATTGAAATTGATGATGTAGTATTTGTTAGAGTAGTATACCCAGCGTTCCAATCTGATTGGACGTATTCTACTTGTAAATACAATCTATTGGAATTATATTGAATAATAGGCATTACTTTATTTTAAGAGTAAGCATTTATCATATATTTGCACTTAAGATAAAGTCCCTAGATCACTTATAGCTATAAGATATGGTTGCGCATAGAGATGGTGATCATGGAACATATCTTGAAAGCTGTGATCTTAAATACAGTTCCAAGTCGTTGGATGTTTCGAGATGGGATATCGAATAAATTCGGAAAAGACTTGCACATAGTATGTATGCTTATTAGATAAGAATGTTGCATTCCATCAACATTAGCGTGAGACGCAAATACATATATGTGGGTGCTTGTTAGAGAACAAGTTCACTGAACATGACCGTATGAAAATTCTTAATGAAAGTTTAAATGTTGAATAAGAATTTTCATGTTACAATAGTACATGACTAGTCCTTAGACTTGAGGCACAATGGTAACTTTGTGCATATTATATTTTACTTTGATTTATCCTTTTGATTGCTAGCACAATCGTATAAAGGGATATTTTGGGTATTATATTAATATGTATGGAAGTTTGTTAGTGGCCAACAAAGGATTCGACACTTATGAAGATAAGTGAATTTCTATGTGTTTCATAGTTAATAATTCAAAGTCCTTGGCCAAGGCGGGATGAATAGAGATTCATAAACGAATTACTAAACTTGAAATAGAATCATAGTTATTAAATCAATTTGAGTTTCGACAAAATCATACCCAAAGATTTAATCAGGAAATTGGATGTCGAAAGGATTTTACATGTATGGACTTGTAATCGAAATAGGTTTACTCG